ATTAAGAAGGCAGCTCGCGAGCTGCTGAACAACTAATTTTGGGCTCGAGCTCGAGCTCGTCCGAAGCTCGAGCTCGTGAGCTCGAGCTCGAGCTCGAAAAACCCGAGCTCGAGTTCGAGCTTTTTTCGAGCCGGCTCGTCGAGTTCGCGAGCCGGCTCGGCTCGTTTACCACCCCTAGTTTCGATGGTGCAAAATGTTATTAATTTGTTTTTAGGGTGCGAAGCATCCATATTTTTCTTTAAATGGAAGCTAAGTCCGCAGGGAGCTGCCTATTGACAAGGACCGCCGATTGAAGGGTAAGAGAATGGGAATTAAATTTTACTTTTAAAAAAATGATTTTTCCTAAGTGTTGATTTCAATTTGATTTGTTTGATTTTTTGACCCCTGACTAAAATATTATAGTTGGCTTGCATAATTAAGAGAACCTAGAAAACTAATTTTTATATCATTCTCAATCGATATCTCAAGTCATTCATTTTATAGTTATTCTTTAGTTTGTATTTTATATTTAAATTCTTGGGGGAAAAAAATATGTCAGTGTTTTACTTCTTGAAAAAGTAGTATCTTGTGCTCTAAATACAAGATATAACTAATTACGTCAATGTTTTACTTGCTAAAAAAATCACGTCACATGTTTCGGATCTCATTTGGTTAGAGAGATTAGTTATGATTACCTAAATAATTGGACTTTGTGTGATGTTTAGTATGTTCTATAATTTTTCGGGTTAATCCAAAAATATTAATTAATCTCACCTTTTAGGGAAAATATTTATTGGACCTTACATGTAGGGATGTGAACGAGTCGAGCTCGCCTCTTCTGGTAGGCTCGAGCTTAAGTTCGAGTCTATTTTATCGAGCTCGAGCTCGTCGAGTTCGTTTTTTTTTTTTTGGCTCGAGCTCGAGCTCGTGCCATTTTGTCGAGCTCGAGCCCGACTCATTTTGTTGTTTTTCTTTTTTTAATACTTTTTTAATTATAATTAAAAAATATTTAAAAAAATTACAAAATAAACAATAAATTGTAATATATATATATTTTTAAATATATTTTTTTTCTATAATATTTTATAATATTATACATTAATTTTATAAAAGATAATATATAAAAAAATAAAAATAATAAATAAGGCTCGCGAGCCGGCTCGTGCGCTCACGAATAACTAAAAACTGGCTCAAGCTCGGCTCGTCAGAAAGCTCGATTACCACCCCTACTTACATGGTCTATTCATACAAATGAGTTTCATTAAATTATTTAATCTTATAGTGATTAATCATATTTTGACAAGCAAACGA